TAATTATTTTATAGCTGTTGCTGCATTGTGCCTGAGATGATCCCCTCAGCGCTGGCGTTTGATAACTTGGTGGATGTAGATGCTTAGCCAGTCAGTCTCTAGGCTTGTGAATATTGGTGAGAACGAGCTCAAATTATCGCTCAAACCAAGTTAACTAACTGATTTTATTAATCCATGTCTATTAACATAATAATGTGTTCTACGGTGCGACCGTTGGGGGCGAGCGCAGTTATTTACTTTCAAAATCCTTTATACAGATTTTACTTGCACTGCCTATCCTCAGTTCATTAAAAAAGAAGAACAGAATAACAAGTCAATTCCCACTTCCCAGGCATCGGGATAGAGATTCTGAATTTTCGGAAGTTTCCTACAAAATCCGAAATACCTGAGCCGTTTAAGTGACGAAAGTATGACGTCAAATAAAAAGTCCTGTTGACTCTTCACCGCAAAGGATTATTGGGAGTTTGGAATTTTTTCACGCTGTGAGATAAAAATTTCTTGGAACGACTTAAAGATTTCAACCCAAATTTCCTCCGTTCATACACGTTATAGTATATTGAGCTCGCTACACGACGCTCGCTGCCCTCGCTATTAAAAAAATTATTGCAACTTTGCCAAGTAAACAAAATTTAAAGGTTTATATTCTTAACACGCTTAAATTCCTTATTCAAATAATTAATAACAATGCATTCTGACAGGTAATCTAAACATGAAAACTGCACAGACATGCCTAATTACTTTAGATCAAATAGCAATTATCTAATATGAAGTATACATGCATTTTACAGGAATCTGGGTGCTCACAAGGACAAGAGGTGTATGAAAAGAAAAACATAAAGGTAAGATTTCTGAATTATTTTCTAAATCAATAAATCACATGAATTGAAATTATCTTTTTCAGTGCTAGTCAGGCATTGAGCCTGAGCTCAAACCTTTTTGTTTTAGCTTACCTGAACCATTTTAAGACCTAAGTGAGTTTTTTGATCAGTGCCTGATGTTGTCTGTCATTTATAAACTTTTCACATTTATACATTCATCAGAATTAATCCTAATTTGAACAAAAAATTGCAAGATAGTGAATTAATTCATATTCCATAGTAAACTGATTTGCCAGGTCAAAAAAAAAAAAATCAATTGTTTTGTATAGCTTTTGTTTATTGTTTGTCATATATTTATATGGATATCAATAATAATGCATCTTAATGGTCATCTTTTTCTTTCAGAAATCGTGTAAGGATCGAAAGTTTGAAGTGTCTGTTGGAATGATCAACATCGAACTTTCTGAGCCTTCGTACTGAAAGTGAATCCGTTCGTGACACCAATTAACTGTCAACCTTCTAACATAACCATTTACTAATTTCATAGAATATCAGTGAGGAAGTGATTCTCTAGCAAACACGTCAGAAGTTTTGGATCTTCATTAATTGGGATCTTTGGCACGTACGTTGGGGGGAAATAGCATCTGTTGATTTTATGGGATCATTGTATCAATATAGTTGTGTAGTACATATTTTTTGCATGTAATACATGTGTTTGTCACTCTAGTCAATAACTTTGTACCAGTACATGTACATAAGCATGATAAGCCACTGGCAGTTCATTGTAAATGTATACTTTGTTGAGGTCTCAATGACTATTCCAATTCCATAGCCAATTTCATTTATTAAAACTTACTTCTTATTTTAGAAAATGCAGACTGGAGTTTACTAAATTCATGTATATCATAACATGATTGTCATTAACTTAACCAAGGTGACTGATTCTCCGGTAATCATATTTTCTCTGTAAATAATGTAAAATACTTTCCGTGAGAATATTTTATGAAAGTGTGCTTATATTGCACATCTGAGAGTTATATCATATGCAATATTTTTCTCAAAAAAAATTGGAAAATAAACAATTTTTTATTTTAAAAATATAGATTTGATCTATAAAACATTTTTGATGTTATCGATTTGTTTTGTAATTATTTGGCACTAATTATTTCAGTTTTCTTTGTACATGTATTTGGAATCCTGGAATTCCATGGATTTCCATGGAATTCCTTAGATTTACAAATATCCTGGAATTCCACGGATTTCCTCCGCAAATTTCCATTCTGGCATTGTTCCGCTCTTTTCCAGGCTAGATTCAAAATACCAAATCATTCCGAAAAAAGTTCCGTCCCAATACTCCGGAGAATTCTAAAGAATTCCGCGGAACAAAAATTCCATGGAATTCCATGGAATATGCTTTGGAATTCCATGGAAGTTGCGGAAAATCTACATTAGGGTACTTCTACTCTCGGCATTGTCCTAGCAATACTCATTTCCTAATATCTGTATTGTCTTTACTTTTTTCTAGAATAATATTGAGCAAAAACTATAAAAAAAAAAAACGTTAGTACAGTTGGAATAAAATGTATTCTATGAGAAATTTTATTTGATCAAGCCATTCAATTGAATGCCAGGTTAAAATGTAATTTCTCGAATACTAGTATCTTAAACAATTTTTAACAATAATAATTTAAAATGGATTTCAAATTTATATAAAAGACGTAGGTCAGTTTTTACCCCCAAAATTCATTTTTTCTGAATCTTTGATCTTTTGCTCTAGGATGCAAAATCCCTTCTTTATATGATATGAAAGAAATTCAACCACGGATTTTTGTCCACATATCTTGAAATATGGCCTATCAGACACCTCTTAGAAAATTGTGAATTCAGACATTCAACTTTTTTCAACATTATCAATTAGTTTATTGAAAACTTGCATGATGCTGTTTATGAAGACAACATTCTTATTACTGGTACTTGAATTCAATGTGACAAAGTTACAATGATACTGGTAAATTTGAACAAAATATTTTGCAAAAATAGAACAAACATAGCGTCAGAATTGAGTATAATTCACAAGTAACTATGCTACGTGTAAAGTTATTTCATGAGAATAGAGAATAATCTCATGGAAATTGTACAATTCAATTTCTATTAAAAAAAAAAATCAACGGTATGATTCCAATGTGTCCAAGAATTGTAATTTTCTGGGTTCTGCCTTTTTTTTTTGGGGGGGGGGGGGGGGGGGGTGGGTATTATCTTTTATGTGCATGTAATTATACTCATTGATATCAGAAAGCAATATGTATCCATTCGAATGAAATTAATAGAATCCAAGTCTATGAAATAAAAAGTTTCATAAAAATCAATAAAATGTGCATGTTGCATATGAGAAGCCTTGTAAAGTGGGTATTGTGAGAATATTGTGAGAATATTGTGGGAATTTTATTTACACATCAGCTAGTTTTGTGGTTATGTACTAGGATAGACAGGCACCCCTGTGTGTGCACATGTACTATATACGCAGCTGTTGACACTTGGTCAAGTTGATGAGAAACACCTTTTGTTTAAACACCTGTTCTCAGCTAGTCTGACCAATCCCACACTGGCAGGGCATGTGTATCTTTATTGATTTTTTACTATGCTCAATTGCTCTTGACTTTTATTATCATATTGTAAAATAAATAATTTTGTTATATCTTTATTTTTTTTAATACTGTTGGTATGAAATGGTAGTATGTTTTCAAATTTTCATTTTCAGAACGTTAGCACACACAAGTATAAGGAAAATATGAATTTTGATAATTTTGATAATTGATGATGAATTAATAAAGACCTTTTATATTAGCAATGCCTGAAAAAATATTCATAGTTTCCTTATGTTCTCAGCTCTACCCATTTGTAGGCTTCCTTAATTAATTGTAGAGTCATGATTTGAATTTTGAAACAGAAAAATATTAAAGCCATGGGACCGAAGGATGACCAAAAGAAAAAAAATTAAAAAAAGACTTAAAAAAAATTAGAGATACTTCATCATTATTCCTAGACAATCTTTTGTTCAAATATAAAAATATTACAGCCAAATGAAAGTAATATTCTTAAAATAAAATAACATAATAAAAATTTTACAAAAAGGAATTTATATAATTTTATTAGCAACATTTATCAGCAATATTAATGACAAAGATACAACAACAAAAAAAAACATTATTTAGAGTCAATATTTTGGAAGAGCAGTTAAATTTTTGCCCAACAAAAGTGTTTCTGCAAGTGGGAGAGATCGAAAGACAAAAATTCTAAATTCTTCTTCTATGTCAGAAATAGTGTTATGAATCCAAAACAACTGTTAAGAAATTATTCGGTTCAAAAAATATTTATTGGAAGCCTGTTTAGGCAAATGATTTGTGGAACCATTGATCCAGGAAAGTACAATTCTACTGTGTTTGACATAAATAACACACTACGAAGGAAACATGCTAATTCTCAGTATGTGATATTTTGGAGATGTAGCCTACACAGGAAAAATGTCCACATGTGTTGAACATATGTTAAACATATGTTTAACATATATTTTTTACACATGTAAAACACATAAAAAGAGCACACATGTATAGGGTGTTTATTTTTACACATGTTAAACATATGTTAAACATGTGTTAAACATGTATAAAAATAAACACATTGTACATTTATACATATGAAACATGTGTTAAACATGTGTTTTATATATGTTATACTTTATATGTGAATTATATGTGTATAATACTACTATTGTACTTATTATCATTTTTATACTTTTTTTCATGCCTGTCCAATTATGTGAATCATATGAAAAGGTCAATTATGTGAATCATATGAAAAGGGCAGCATATGTAAATCATATGAAATAGTTATATGTGTTCTCTTTCAATATTTATCACAAGGAATAACACATTCTTGTACACATTTAAAAATCAGATATTTCTGCTTTAGATGAAAATCCATTACATTCCAATGATCTATCTTCATGGGTTAAATATTTGAAAATAAATATCTTAAAATGCTTACACAACTTTTTTGATAAATTTTTTTCATCAAGAGAAATAACTTATTTTTCAGTGTACTTTCAAAACAGGAAAGTATACAAACAAGTCAGTAGCATTTGTCGATACATGTATTTTACATATTCTAAGTTGAATACAAATTTTAAGATTTCCACAAAATTATTAAATAGTTAAACATGCATACATGTACAAATGAATAACATAATTAGTCCATGTACTTGTTTATAAATATGATTTGACATGAAAGTGTCCAAAGCAAAATTGAAATATCACATATAACATTTGTCATGTATTCTCTATTGTAAATTTATGAAAAATCAAGTTATTTGATATTACAGCATACAAATAAGAATGGGAATTAAATCTTTACAGGTCAAATGCAGACAAGATTGTGTACATCCTCCCAATTTCATAATTATTTCATATATTTTCTTGTTCGTTTTCCTTCTGTATCTTTCAGTTTTCTTCAGTTGTCCTCCCTCTGATCTTCCATGAGTTTGACCTTTTTGAACTCTGTTTGAACTGTACCCAAAATGCAAATCCACCATTTCTCCCTTTCCTGAACAATTTCTTTGTGGCACAGAATGGTCTCTACAAAATTTTCAAAAGTAATAAAACAATTCCTAAATTACAAAATCAATTCTACAAGTAATATTAAAGTTCAGCAAACAAATGTATGCCCAATTAAGCAACACAGATATGATACAAGACAAGAGGCCCATGGGCCACATCGCTCACCTGAGAAGCTTTGACCATTCTGTTCTTTACCAGATTTCCCCCTTGTTATACATAATGCATCCCCACCCTACCCCACTGATCATAATTTAGACATTTTGAAATCTACACTACCCCATGATCCTTCCATGGGCACATATGTTTCAGCTTTTTTGGCCCAGTGGTTCCTGAGAAGAAGATTTTCAAAGATTTTTCCTATATATTTCTATGTAAAACTTTGATTCCCCTATAATGGCCCCACCCTTCCCCCGGGGGTCATGATTTTAACAATTTAGAATCTACACTACCCCAGGATGCTTCCACATAAGCTTCACTTTTTCTGGCCCAGTGGTTCCTGAGAAGAAGATTTTCAAAGATTTTTCCTATATATTTCTATGTAAAACTTTGATTCCCCACTGTGGCCCCGCCCTTCCCCCGGGGGTCATGATTCCTACAATTTAGAATTTACACTACCCCAGAATGCTTCCACGTAAGCTTCACTTTTTCAGGCCCAGTGGTTCTTGAGAAGAAGATTTTCAAAGATTTTTCCTATATATTTCTATATAAAACTTTGATTCCCCATTGTGGCCCCGCCCTTCCCCCGGGGGTCATGATTTGAACAATTTAGAATCTACATTATACCAGGATGCTTCCACATAAGTTTCAGCTTTTCTGGCCCAGTGGTTCTTGAGAAGAAGATTTTCAAAGATTTTTCCTATATATTTCTATATAAAACTTTGATTCCCCATTGTGGCCCCGCCCTTCCCCCGGGGCTCATGATTTGAACAATTTAGAATCTACACTACCCCAGGATGCTTCCACATAAGTTTCAGCTTTACTGGCCCAGTGGTTCTTGAGAAGAAGATTTTTTAATGACCCAACCCTATTTTTCTCTTTTCTTGATCATCTCCCCTTGCGAGGGGATATGTCCCTTCATTTTAACAATTTATATTTCCCTTCACCCAAGGATGCTTTGTACCAAGTTTGGTCAAAATTGGCCCAGTGGTTCTTGAGAAGAAGTCGAAAATGTGAAAAGTTTACAGACGGACAGACGGACGGACGGACGACAGACAAAATGTGATCAGAAAAGCTCACTTGAGCCTTCGGCTCAGGTGAGCTAATAAAACTAATGTTATATATGTAATACTTGGTGTTTTGTGGAATCCTATGATGTAATTGCAAGACAATTACACTGTTGGAAGATATGTTTCATAATAAAGTCATAAAAAGCATTTTTTTTTTTTGATTTTGACAATTAAATTTGGAATGTTCAAACAGTATTACTAATTCATATTGCCAAAAATTAAGAAGATTCTGACACAAATATTTTATTTTTGGACAAAAAATACTACAGAGAAGTAGACAGGCAGAAAAACAGACAGTGTGATTCCAGGATATCCCAAATGTTGTTGGGAAGAATATAACAAAGTTTATTTAACAGTGTGTAGTTACCTAAATTAAGCTTTTAAGCAAGTCTTGGATCTTGGGATTTATTCTTATGAGACGCTGACTGTATATTGAACCTGTAAAACAAATATTCATGCAGTAGATATCTTCTAAGCATGACTAAAACCTAATTAAACTACAAAACTACAACTACAAAAAAGAGAGAGTATATATTTGTAGGTTCTTAAAAGTCTTAATTAATATATCTTACATTTTACCAGAAACTATGTTCTCTAGTGTTGGAAAAAAATTATAAATGTCAGGTACATAATAGATGTAAATATCCAATGGATTAGCTAGCTGATGTACTTTCTACAATCAACACATATGTACATGTACTTGTACCTTGAAAGTTGGATGTCACTGTCATTATTAATTTTTAACTGAAATTCAAAAATTCAATTACCCCCCCCCCCCCCTGAAGTCATTTACAGTACATGTACCAGTTTCATAGCTTTTGAAGCCAGCAAATTCTATTCATACTTTCCATATTTTAAAAGTACACTGGATTAAAACTGTTTTATAATATAGAATAAAATTATTGTAGTATTGAGTTGGACTTATTTTTTAAGAAGTCGTGCAAACAAAATAATGTAGAATTATAAAGGAACAAAAAGAAATTATCAAGAAATATTTTGTCATTAAGGAGTCATTACAGATGTTTACTTTAATTTTTTATTGCAAGTATTTATTTTTACCTTTAATATTGCGATGATGCAATCATCTGTCAAATCAGCTTTAGGATCAATCGCCAGTCTTATCAGCTTTGGGCTTTTTAGACGCAGCACTGTGACACTGAACTCAAGTTACTGCATGCATCTATATAGGCCATAAAAACAAACACTTCTTATTAAGTTGATGAAAGAATCGACTTGACAGCCATCTCAACATACATAAACACCAACTGACAGTCACAATGGTTTCAAGGTTTCTACTTTCACTTTCATATCAGTACTGTACGTAACAAATGCCTTTAAAAAATAGGCTAACATGTAATGTTTACGTTCATGCAGAAACAAATTTATCCAAAATTACTTACCTGTATACAAATTATAAAAAATAGTAATGCCTTTAGCCTAATATGTAACCGCTTGCATTCATTCAGAAACATTTTTCTCCAAAATTACTTACAGATCACTTTCGTTAGGTTTACGAAATGCATGACAAGTCACAATGATAAGAGTATTACATGTACATAGAAAGTTCATATGCACCTGTAACTATAATGAAATGATATTTAAACAATATGAATTAAAAGTCTTTAAAAAATTGTTTGGAGATCACTTACCTTTCCAATATACCCAGCACGTCTGCTGCAGCAGTGACGTCAAAAATGACGTACTTCTTCTCACATTCTCATCCGATAAAAGACAAAACCGGCCCGGAGACAAATACGGAATTATTTTAATTTTACTCAAGAAGTAAGCCAAGCCCAAAAGATTTAAAATGAAAAGAAATGAATATTTATTCTTTATCAATTTTGTCTGATAAATGCATTATTACAGAAAAAAAAATTGTGAAAGTTTTTTTTAGAAGGGAAAGGGGGGGGGGATAAACAAAGTAAAACTTTACATGAGTAATTACTAACATTTACAAATTCTTTTGTACACACATATGAGATAAAATTTAACATGTGTATAACATGTGTATATGAATACACATATATTTTATATAAATTAAACATGTATAATTCATCTGTATTTTCACACACATATATTACATATATATAATACGTGTTATACATGTGTGATGAAAAACATGTGTTTAACATATATATTATCTCACAGGTGTATTACACATGTATATTATATATGTTTTACATATAAATGAAACACATATTTTACACGTGTTTATTTACACACATGTATTACCTGTATAAAACATGTGTTGAACACATGTGAAACCAAACATATGTTTAACACATGTGGACATTTTTCCTGTGTAAGGGGTTTCATGAATTCAGATAAAAAACATTTGGCGTGAAGATGGGATTAATTTGAACAGAGAGCCAAAGAAAATTTTTAGTCGACAGATTCAACTGGCAATGAAATGCAAAATAACATAAAATACCTATGCTTGGAGATGGTCAAAGATCTTCGGTTCACTTTTAACCAATCCAAAATGAGATTTTTATCATAGTTAAAATTCAATGAAAACTTGTGTAATTTTATTTTATTTTATTTTATGATTATTATTTTTTTTTTTTTATATTTTTTTACTTTTTTTTACTTTTCTTTCTCTTTTTTTTAATTTAATATTTGTTTCAATGAAGAGACACATCAAAATATACACAACTGTATAAAAATATTTAAACATTTGATATTTTTTGTTATAACATTTCTTTAAAAAAAAACCTCTGGTATCAGTTAAAATTCAATCAAAAATTATTTTTATTTTTTGTGTGTGTTTGTGGACTTTTTTCCTTAAAAAATAACATATAAAAGTTAACTTTGAATTAAAATATCTATATATTTGAAAATTGATTTAAGGAATGAATTCTTATTTTTTTTAATTTTATACGATATAAAATGGTTTGGGACAGTTTACGCTTTATAAACCGCGAAGCGGTTTATAAAAAAAGCGTAAACTGTCCCAAACCATTTTATATCGTATAAAATTAAAAAAAAATAAGAATTCATTCCTTATAATTTAATTTCCAACACTAAATGTTTCAAAATAACAAATTTTATTTCGTAAAAATAATACAATTTTAAATTTAACCGCGTAAGAATACGTCATCCTAGTAACGAGGGGGGATCTAGAGATCGACGAGCTTCAATCCACCCAATCGACGGCCATTTTTTTTTCAGAATTCAACAACAGTGAACACGGTAAGCAAGTGTAAGTTATCTACTTTGAGGAGGTGAAATGAAAGACATATTGATGAAAAGCCGAGTGAGATATGAAACCAGAGGAGAAGGTCGATTATTGAATGATTTCTGCAGATGTTGTTATTGGGGCGGCGGAAACGTCAGGATGTTTACATGTGACGGCATGGCTGGATCCTGTAACCTGAACAGTGTCATTTCTTTCCGTTTGTGGGACGATCAGATTGGACAAAGCTCTACTCATTGACTCCTTCTGGTAAGTAGCGCATTCTCGGCTATAACTCCTTACAGAGGATTCGTTTTTATGGCCACTCATGTGCATTATGTGTCGCACTTCGAATCCTGCATCGTTCATGCCTTGTATGGAGGTTGCACGTAAGCTGTGTGCAGTGTAAGAATTTTTACATTTTGCGTTTTTACAAATGTCAGCCATAAAACGTGTGAATTGGTATTTCTTGATAGGAACATTAGTGTACCAAATTTCCTCTGTAGTTGGAGAGGATAATGCTTCTTTTGAACATCTGTTGAAAAGAAATGTTGCAGTAGGGTCCATCTTTGAGAGGTATTGCTTTAAAGAGTTGACTGGACAGTGTTCCCCTGCATTTGGTACTGCATACATTCTTTTTTCCTTAGGGGTTTCAGATACATCTATGCCCCCTTGCCAGTTTTTTTGTTTAGTTTCATGAGACAAAACAGCGTACTCGTGTCCATTTTCATCGAAGTGAAATTCGAATGAGTTGACCTTTAGTTGCTCGTGAAACTCAAGTCCCCTGCTGACAAACTGAATGGCGATTAAAAACCAGATGCGGAATCTTAAAGACACAGGAGTTGAATCTCCATAAAGGTAAGCTGAAATTTTATCAAGATCATTTTTAGGAATAACAGCCTTGTGCTTTGTTGGTCGAGAGAGCCCTTCTTGTAAATTTTTTTTTTTAGTTTTCCGTCCAAGACATTATTGCTACCCCGAAATTCTCTGTCACGCACTATGTCAAACTGACGTCCAATGTCGTGAACATGGCGATTAATTGCTGATCTTATGCTCTTGTATGTATTACTGTGATATTCTGTCGCTTGTTCTTTTGTCATATATTGTGACCTTTTTTCATTGGGTTTAGGTGTAGCCTCTGCATAAAATTTCTCAAGTTGTTTATTCAGCTCAGTAGCAGAAATTTTGTGGAAATCAGTTGGCAGTCCCAAAGCTTCAACACTCCATTCTACTTTTTATCAATTTATCAAGTCATATTTCATATCAATCCAGATAGCTTAATGGTAAAGCAACCATACAATTTGTGTGGGGAATTTGGGTTCAAGTCCCAATCTGGATATTAAAAATGTTGATGACTTGATATAATTTAAATTTATAAAAGTTAAAACATGCATTTACCTTGAAACAAATTTACTCCCCACTTTGTATTAAACTTTGTAGCTTTTGACTGCCTTCTTTCTTTCAATTCCTGCAGCTCTGTTTCATTAACAGTTTTGAATCTTTTTTTCCTGCAGTCTGAGTCTGGGTCTCTAAGCATGGTTTTCTCTGTTTTTATAGGATTTAAAACCATTTCCATCTCTTCCTCAGCCTCCTTTCTAGATGTTGATGCATCAAGTTCCCCATCAAAGATTTGATGATGGGTTTCCCAATCAATTTCTTCAATTTCAACATTTTCTCCTACCCCCAGCATGTCAAAATCTGCCATTGTGCAGACGACAACAAATCACAACTCATATAGTTCCATCTTATTAGTGCCTTGACTATTTATTTCCATAATAATTGTGTAATTTACTATAGATTGGCACCAAAAAAAAAAAGATAGAATTTCTTTAAAAATATTTATTATTTTTTTAAAATGATTAATAATTTACTATAAACTCTAATGTAAACAGGAAGTTATAGTAAAAAGTAGTTCCGGCTCACTGTTGGCAAGGGGGCGTGGCTCTATACCTACATTCTTCATACTATATAAAACATAGTCATGTGACTGTTTAGTCCAATCAAATTACACTATTTAGACTAAATTAAATTATATAGCCTTTTAATTTACTATTTCACTTTAAATTTAACTATTTCAGTATTTTCATATTTTGAAATATATTTTTTTGTTCTCTTTGTAACATATAAGTAATTATTGATTATCATAATTATTATTTTAATTATTATTGTTGCTTTGAACCTTTTGGATTTTATATTTTTATATCTCTAAATTCAGAATTTGTCTAAAATCTCAAAAATAAATTCAGTATTTTCATATTTTGATTTTTTTTGGTTCTCTTTGTCACATATAAGTACTTATTACTTATCATTATTATTCTTAATTATTATAGTTGTTTTTAATCTTTGGATTTCATACATCATATTTTATATCTCTAAGTTCAGAATATCTCTAAAATCTCAAAAATAAAATTATTAAATTATGGCTCTACAAAAAGGAGACCTCCACGTGGCTACAGCTGGTAACACTGGGATAATATGAATAATTAGTAAATAAATTCATATGTTCTTAATGGCTAACGTCCTAAAAAAAAATTGATTAAATACTTATTACATATTTTACATATTCCATTGTAAAAAAAAAAATATAACTTCGAAAATTAAAATGAATTATTTTAAAGCTACGGCTTTCTTTTCAAATAAATAAATAAATCTTTTCCAATAAATAAATATCTAATGAAATTAGTCTTATTTTGCCCTTCTTCTTATGTAATTTAAGAGATAAAGATGCACATGAAAGCCCACATGCCGATGGCCATGCAATAGCGTCGAGTGGCGTAACACTTATTTTTCAAGATTTTGCTGAAAATATTTAAAAAAAAAAAAAAAAGAATTCTTTAACAGTCTTAGAACTTTAATGTTTCGATTTTACTTTATTTTAAACACCATTTGCATCTACAGTGTCGTGCCATAAGTGTTTCACCTTTTCATGACGTTGCAAATTCTAAGTGCATTATCTTAAGGTAAAATAAAGTTTACTTACAAAAATACCACTGAAAATGATACCTTGAAATTTTCAATACTTTGTTGCATGACCCTTGGCTTTTAGAACAGCTTGCATTCGTCTAGGTATAGTTCCGTAGAGACACTGTATATAGCCTGGAGTCAACGAATTCCAGATCCGCAACACAGCATTTACAAGTTCTTGTTTGGATTTAATCTGGTGTTGCTCTCGCCCTAGGCTGATTTTTATCATTCTCCAGACATTTTCTATCACATTAATATCAGGAGATTGCGATGGCCAGTCTATACACGGAACATTATAGTAATTTTTCCAGTTTTTAGCCCGTTCAGACATGTGACATGGACAATTGTCATCTTGAAAAATCCAAGGAGAATTACCAAAATGTTTCGCGACAACTTGCCATAAATGATTGTCCAATATATTTATATACTTCTCTGTATTTAAATTACCATCAGTGGGTGTTAGGGTACCAACGCCAGAGTAGGAAATACAGCCCCAAAATGAGACGGTGATACAGACGCCGCCATTACGCACTGAACGCAGTCCTAAACAATCGGGCTTCCACTTTTCATCTGCTTTCCTCCAAACGTTCACACGTTGATCAGACCGTAGAACAAATTGTGTTTCATCAGAAAATATTATATTTTTCCACTGATTATCTACAGTCCAATTTCTATGGTTTTTACACCAATCAATTCGTCTTTTTCTGTTGACAGCTGATATTGTGAGAGTTTTCGCTACTTTATGTCGTGTGTAACTCAACGAATGTAATTTTCTCTATACAGACCGATTAGAAACTGGACGAGGCACAGAACGATTGAATTCTTCTGTTAAATCTCGTAAATTTTGCCTACGATCTCTTAGAACTTACCTTCTTAAAATCCGATCAGACTAGACACTCATCTTTCTGGGTCTTCCGCTTCGTAGGTCATTTTCGATACTTTTCCGTGTTGCATAACGTTTCAAAAACTTTGATATGGTAGATCGGTCGTATCCAGTTATTTGTGCCATGTAAACTTTTTTCCTACCCTCATTATCTGAACGTAGTATTTGTTGTTTTAGAGCACTTGTCATTTCTCGGCGATTTGAAGCCATGTTTTGTTTACGTCTGCTACTGTTATAAAAATAGACCCACGTGCGCAGGGGAACTTCCGTGTGACGCAGATAAGCTAATTATAATACTGTCTAAATTTAGTCGGGATTGACATCGTATTTACAGAAATATTTACAAGAATGCAACTATGAAATATTTTTTTCAATAAAAGCGGGAATAAAAACGTGAAACACTTATGGCACTGCACTGTATATAATTCGATCACAACTTTCTTTGGGTCTAATAACACGAATGCCGAATCGCAAGGCTACAGCTTAGGAATTCTATTTTTTAGAGCGACTCTGAGCACTAGCGACAGTTTTCACTGGTACACCGGTACAAAATATAAGATTGACTCTAGACCTTTTCGCTTTTCATGTATAAAAAATGCACAAAATAAGCAAATCAAATAAATGTTTTATTTACAACTGAAACAAGCATTTCTTGCATTTTAGGCGATCAATTTAACATGTGTACATAGAGGATATACCGATAAAAACCAGCCTTTGTTTACAAGTTTTATACCATTATTGAGCTGCACAGTCTCAAACATTTAGCCTGATTTTTTTGCTAGACTTTACGTTAAATCTTCATGATATAGGTTAAGGCTGTTTAAAGTTAATTCTACGTTAAACGTCACATCTAAAGTTCAAAACCTACGAGGGAGGGAGGAAAAAATAAACAAACAAAATTTTCAAACAATTGTGAATTGTTTCAAATTAACCTATTCAGTACATTAAAAACATTACAATTAAGTAATATGAGCATTTAATTGATATGACACCTAAGATTAATTTTCCTAGAGTTTTTCCTTAGTATGTAAATCAGTTTGAGTCCTATTGTAAGCAAAAAATGTAGTCTTTGACTGAATGTGCAGGAAAGTGGCTTTTAACTAGGCCTCAGTTGTCCTTTGGATTTATATTGCCACACGTCCATGGTACCCTGGAGGCAAATGCTTCTTTTTGTGGGAATAATTGCTCAATATCTACAATTAAAATAATTGATGATAATATTTAAAACTGTTCATGTTGAAATGTCCTCAAATTGAATTATGTCGTATTTTTTCTTAGTACTAGATCTACTAACATTAAGTTTTGAAAGTGTGAATACTAATACAAGTATATATTAGGACCATACTGATAGCTGTTAGATTATCTTTAATACCTTGAATTCCACACAAAATACAGGATTCTTCACGTCTTGGAATACCTCAAACCACTTTCCTTACTCTCCTTCACTTGAAAGGCCCTATCTTTGGTAAGCTTATCCCTGCTCAAATGGTTAAGACAAGTATTATCTTTTCCAAAAATTGTAGCTATTTGTACTGGTTCATGAATTATGAAGAAATCAATTATCTTATTCATTACTGTTTCTTTCGATTTTTACAGAAATATTGTTTTAATATTAAATAAATTAAATAAAATTTAAATGATGCTTCTCACTGTATATAAATATTGGTTTTTGACACACTTTCCACTCAGTAAAAAAGTTTTTCGATTTTCTCCTAAATACAATGAAAAGTTCAGCCAATAATCACGAACTGAGATTCTGTCAGTTTGTACATGTGATTCGAAGACTGACAAAAAATCAAAAAACTAGACTTTGCCATTAACTTCAATCATGAAATCATCTATTTTTTACTTACATTTATGGTTCTAAGCTCTTTAATTCAGTAGTTTTCTCTAATAAGACACAAACTGCCTTTACTGAGGCTATCAAAGCACATTTTCTGTCACTACGGGAAGCAGAATTTAGTCGCTAATTGTAGAACCAAACCGGAACGGACATACGGAATTCCGAATTGTTTTTTTTTTTTTCAAAGACAAATTTCTCATAAACCTAAGCGCAGGTGACGTTAAACATAGTTTTAATTTTAAACATCCTAAACTGTAATTTTTCAAATTAAATTCTACTCACGATAAATGTGTTAATATGTTGGAAAATATCAAAGCATTGCATTTGCGATGAATAGCTGACAAACACCTCGATCGGCTTTGTCGTTGTTCAATGTAAGCTGTCGCCAGTGTCTCCGTGTTTACATCATAAATATACCCTTAGTTACTGAAATCATAGATTCAATGTTTTTGATAAAATTAAACACCTGATTACAAATTAACTGCTTCGGACATGTGTCTCCATCCATCGTATCCATTCATCCCTTTCCGGTGACAGAAATTCCTCCAACTTTTTATCGTCAGTCTTTGAACGTGTTTCTCGTGTCATTTCAGCATTGATTATCAAATTTCACAAATAAAACTATATTCCCACAAGGAGCCTTATATAAAATATTCCCTTCGAAATAAATTCTTAGCCCAGTGAATTCGAAGCGTAATCGTCTTTCAGCCAATTTACACCTTGCGCACTTTTGACGAAAATCTACGGCGAACAATTAGTGCAATATTTATATTCGAATATATTTAATTGTCCATCTCAAATGTACTGTATATGTAAGTAATGAATAACAAGTTTATAAACTTCAATGGGGATTGAAGAGTGTCGCACGTGATCAAATCTTCTGAGAAGGCCCACTTCAATTCCAATTGAAGTTGATAAACTTGCTATTTATTTCTTTAAAATATATATAATCTTGTCATATATTTCTTCAATAGATTTATTTATGTGCATCTTTTGGTATATTATATCTTATATTATAACGTCATACATACATGTAAAAGATATGGACACCGTGATATTACTTTTGGATCAACCCTCGTATATACACTTTTCTTGCCAAAGTTTGATAAAATAAATTGATTATTATGGAACATGTCAACCCAGTTACTTTAGGGGATAACATTGATGACAAAAAAATCACGAAGCTAGTCAACTAGATGTACTTTAGCTTCGTACAATTGTACAAATGCGATGTGCATATTAGGAATATATTACTTTGGCCCAACTTATAAGTCATATATTCAGAAAATTCTATTCAACATTCTATAGAATTGCTTATTAATAAGATTATGATGGATCTTGTAACTTTTTTCTTCAGGATTTTATCTTATGCACAAGGCTTTCAATACCTTTTGTTGTAGGTCATAAAAATTGTAGTTAAAGTCGAGCGCACAAGTTACTCTAAGACTTACCATTTTCTCCATCTGACTTGCAAATAATTTTCAAAGTTTTCTTTATTCTACTGATATAGTTGCATCTCGTTGTTAAAACAGTACAATTATCACTTAATTCATTGACACTAATATTTACAGATGCCACTTGATATCGATATTTCTTAGACGATGTCGACATTTTTAAGTTTTGCATTTTTACATGGCATTTCTGAGAACAGCTACCCTTATCTGAAAATAGAAAATATAAACAACAAAATAAATGTAATATTTTTTTGTATTTTAGATTGTTTCAAAAAAATATTTCAGGAAATTATAAAACTTTAAGGAAATCAACCCATTTAGGCTAAAAAAAAAAATGGAGACGTACAATCTTGATAATATATATTCTATAATTATCTAGAAAGCTCACAATAGGACCATTACACTTTCTAGAAACCTAATCAAACTCTGATATTTTAAATTTTTTTTGGTCATTTTTAATCGATGATTTGACATTTTACACGTTTTTAAGATACTGGTGACCAGTTTATATGTACATGAATGTAAAACTTTTTTGTGTTTCTGTTTAAAGCGATTAGAATAAACTTGTTTTTAAGCACATTGAGACAAATGGCAATGCTAGATTCGATGAGAAAAATCTAATTTTAAAGTTTTTATGGAGAAGTGCTTGATAAAATCTTTGTAACGTCTAATTGGTTTTATTACATTTTTACCCGTTAAACACTGTATTTTATTCACTGAATAAAAGTGATAACCTGTCACAGTGTGAAAGGATATCAAAATGATATCCTGTTACAGTGTGACGAATATCAGAAGTGTGGGAAAACTCTCGATTTCCCTTTCCATAATGAAGATTGTTGTGATAAAAATTTTCCTTGGCCTGATATAAGATAGATAGAAATAAATAAACCATCCTGACAGCAAATAAAACTGTCAGAAGTACCAAAAATAAGATGCTAAATCCATGTTTACAGTGTTTTCACTTAACATAGCTATGACGTTTCAACAGCTCAACTATGACGTTATGAGCCTTTGGCTGTATTACAAAAAGACAGAGGCAAAGGGAAAATCAAAGATTTTTTTAAAAAATGTAATAAACGGAAAATTCAATGTTTTGTAGTTGAATATGGAATTTATTTCACTCGTGATACAGGATTTTTTTGATATTTTAACTCTTGCTTCGCACTCGTGAAAATATCACAAATCCTGTCCCACTCGTGAAATAAATTTCATATTCAACTACAAAACATTGAATATCCTCTCTCGTTAAACACAATATTTTGTCTTAGCTCTTGAATTATAGCAGAAGTAGAAAGCTGCTTCAAACCTGATTCAAACCACTGTTTCGCTTCTGTAAACGTAAAAAGACACGCACTTTCTCCGAATGCAAAGTTAAAGAGCGTTTCCAGGCAAACCTCCCTTTAAAGAAAAAAGCATGTCGTGAGTATTGTACCTTTTACATTTTTTAAAATTTACTCATTCTTTCTGTTAATAATGTTGTATTTTCCCGGAAAAGGAAATGAACATTCAGGAAAGAAAAGACGTTTATGTATTCAATTAAACGTTTGCAATTCCTTAAAAAATCTCTTAATCTATCTAAAGGACTATTCAGCTGTGAGGAAAGGGCCCATCCTCATTCCAACAAAGTCGAACAAGGAATTTTTACCAATTCTAGCCACATAACATCATTGAAAGTATGATATGAATGATAATGCTGAGGCAAAGACAAACCAAATACAATGCATATGAGTAGAATGAGTAAAAGTTGTTAAAGAGATTGATTGATTGATTGATTGTTGTTTACGTCCTGTTCGAGAATATTTCACTCATATTGAGTCGTCACCATATACCAGTGAAGAGGTTCAAATTTAGACCTTTGCTCGACACTCAAGGCTATTGAGCAGTGATGGATCTTTATCATACCAACGCCCAAAGGTGACAAAGGGCTTCGATTTTTAAGGTCTCAACCGAAAGAACCACAACTATCATATGAAGGTGCCGAGAAGCTGGCAAAGGAACAGTTGTTACCAATTTTTTCGACTTAGGTCAGTCGCAGCCGAGATTGGAGCTCACATCCTTCCGATCACGGAGCGAGCGCTATATCGACTTAGCTACCATGACTGCATATAAAAGTTAAAAAAAAGCAATTTGTCAAGTTGCAGTCACAAATTTCTGGTAAATAGTATCAAAACTGTTTCTTTCATAGTGTTATATCATTTATAAGAAAAAATTAAACTTGGATGTAATGTATGAAAAAAACTTGTTTAATAATCATTATCTATCACCTTTAGAAAATAAAGTAAAAAAGTAAAGACCTTTGTTAATCACAAGATATCACAAAAGAGAAAAAAATATTTATATTTATAAGTAGAGAATTATCATAAATTGGTCCACATTTTATTTATGATATTGAAAATCTGAATTACGCGATCTGTTTACTGTACATTTTACACCTTGGGTAAGCTATTTGCATTATATTGTTAACTTTTTGGGGGGACGTTAAACAACATACAATCAATCAATTTGATTTTATGAATGTGCTTACTGCCGTTCATGCTTTTTAATTGTCAATTATACGATGTGCTTTTAGTTGCATCGCCCTTAATTATCAATCAAAGATTATCCAAATTCTGGTGTGATATATTCTAAACAAAGAGGACAATTCAGTTTTGAAGAAAATTTACTCATTTAGGAAACTGCGATATTAATCGAAAGTTGAATCAAGATACATATAATACAATTTACTCCTGACTTTTTGAACTGGGTAACTGTTAAAGGTCACGCAGCACTGTTAAGGCCTACTATGAGAAATCAACGGAAAATAGACGTGCAAAAAACGGAGACATTTTCAAGACTGAATTTATTTTAATTAAGCTGTTTTATTATCATAGAACTCAAATACTTATGGAAATAGCATAGTATAACCCACTCCGTACTGTATGAAGTTTGGTCCCATCGATGGACAGTCACGTGATGAATGCATAGTTCGTGTACGGAATGTAGGTCATGAACAAATTTCAATATCGCAAAGGCATACCCTAGATGAAATTAAAAATTCAATCTATTATTTTTTTCTGCATACATTGTACTTTCTTGAAAGTGCTGCTGCTTTAAACAGAATTCGCATTTTAATAGTTAAATTTTCAGGTAAATTAGCCACTGTCGAAATATGCTTGACTTTTACCAAACATTTTGTGTACTTAAAAAATCACGCGCTCGAATTAAAGAAAGCAGCAGCACTTTTCAAGTTAAGAAAAATATCCTTTATCTATATTCAAAAAATGGTTAAGACCTATTAAGTGTATGCCCTTGCAAATGTACGATTTTATGAGGCATCTCATTGTAAAATATGCGTAACCTGTACATAAAAACACGACATTACTAATAAAATGCATTCGCTTGATAGTTAATGAATAATCGCACCAAATAAAGGATATACATTGGTATTAATCGATTATTTAAAACCTGATAAATAATATTCCGTTTCATAATAAAACACATTTTTCATTGTTAAAAAAATCCTCAATCTGCCTCTCACAGCACATGAAATACGTCATGTTTACCAAAATGACGTCATGTTTACAAGTTCATCGCGATCAGAGCTTTGTCTATAACAAGCTACAAGGGATTTAACCAAATTTTTAAATCATTGATAAGTTTTATTGTTGTTTATCATGCTAATAGGGTCTGTAAGTCTCGTTAACTTTCACTTTCGTTTTCTAACTTCCGGGTACTTGGCGTTCTTGGAGACAATGATTTACCGCTTGGCATTTGGTTTTAAGCCTCGCGGTGGACTAGCAGAGCCTGTCATGTCGTTTGTTTCCCGATTATTGAAAAGAAGAGGATATAATGGATTGATTGATACAGGTAAACAGCGTTTAACTGCTTTATTGTTTTATTAAACGACGTACATATAAGCCATTCCGAATGGGTCACGATAAGCAGTGTGGTTGGCAAACATTTTAAAGCATAAAGGAAAATTAAAATATTTTTAAAGCTGAAATAATGTGTTTCCAAACAAAAACGTTCCCTAAAGATTGGTTTCTCAAATTTGTTTCATTTATTTAGCACACGGGACGGGTACATAGAATGGGGGGGGGGGTTAACCAACAAAATAAGGTAAACACCAATTTTCAATGTCTATATTATGTATATATTTGCAATAAAAAGGGGGGCTAAAGCCTATGTATTATACTTGTATTACAGTAGAAATAAATAGATTTACTTGTTATGTAACTCTATCCAGAGATAAAAATGTCAAATATTACTTCTTTCATGTTACTCTATATATATTCAATCTCAATATAACTTGTATAGCCTTATGACTCCCTTCCCGAATACTCTTACAATTATGAGACAGACTTTTTTTTCTTTCTTAAAATATAGGAATTAGAAATAGGAATATTTTTAATGAAGGCATTTGTCAGATAGATAAATCTAATGTTGTCTCCAAAAAGGCAATGACTGGGTCCATAGGACATTCATACTTTAACGATAGAACATTTTATTAACATTTGTCATCATATTTTATAGGGATCCAGCAGATACAGAAAAAGGGACAACACTTCGACTGAATGCGTCATCCATATACCGGTATAGATCTGTTCTGTTCATGAGGCATACATACTGAAAATGTATAACATTTGGTGTGTATAATATTTGGTGGAAATTCAATTTTCAACAAGTTATCATTCTATTAGATATCTGAATGTGCTAGTTATTAAATTCATATTCAAGACATTTGGTGATGTACTTGGATAGGCGGACTATGTTTTCCACTAAATAAAATATATCATGGCCAAATGTAATATGTTTACATTATGTATAATATTTCTCATAATTCTTATACTCATAAAGAGTGTGACAACTTCCAAGTAGTTAATGATGGAATTTATTTTCCTTTGTATCAAGTAAATTTTGGGCTGCTCTTCTTTCTTTCTTCATTATCAAACCTACTAGTTCATTTATTTATCAAATTCAGGAAAGCTCACATACAATGATAAATAAATTAAGTTGAATGAACCATAATACTAGTTAAGTTTGGCACATACTTTCTTATTAAATATCAAATTTGATTGGTTAAAAACATTTGTTAACAATTACTTTTCTCCTTCGGTGTGCCTAACATTACATCCCTATGATTCAAAATGCATGTCGATACATGTAGGCACATGTAACTTCTCCATAAAAATAGCTAACTGTGCAGAGTGTTCGCACACTTGTTTCAACGAATGACATTTTCTTAAAAATATTTCAGAGTAACAAGATAAATATTGCATGTTTATTTTGATACACTATACATGAACTTGAGAAAAAAATTAAGGAAGTTGACATTGTATATTTGCTAGTTACTTGTGTGTTATAAATTAATATATTAAGGATGTACACAGGTATAATATATCACTGTTAATATTTGAGAAAGTATTCATTTTTTGTGTAGATGCTCACTTCCACTTTAATACATTTGCCAGGTTCTTGTGAAAAGTGTTTTATTTGGCACCATTCAGCTACAAATACCCAATGTAATCTTTGCCGGTGGAATTGTGACCTCAATCAAGTGAATCAACTGCTGCAAATTGTTTCAAACATTTTACACCTGCAGGTTAGTACTTATAAAATTTTGTTTGAAGGAAAATAAAGGCTAACAAGATCTGAAAATACAAGCCAGATGTAGTACAAAAGTGTTGATACAAGTCATTTAAAAATTTCATTTCTTTGCAGTTACTGATGAGTGCAACAGAAGTTTTTATCAGGATCTCGTCCGACATCATAGGTACAACTGGTCACTGTGATTTCTTAAATAACAGGACATATTGTGAAGGCGCCTAGGCAGTTACATATGTACACGTGGCTCCAAATGATGCTTGACTGTTTTCCTTCACTTAATACGTATTATTTAAAACCTGGATTGGTCTTTGATGCAATAATACAGAGCCATGTCATGTTTTAAATCCCATCTTCCCACAGTCAGGTGCTGAAATAAAATGATTTTGATTTTAAATATATATTTTTTGTTTTTATGAAATGTAACAAAACATTTTACAGAAATTAAAATATTGTACAAATGGAAATTTTAGTGAGATCATGATGCAAATTTAGTAATTTGTCCTTAAAATTTGTTATTTTCTACTTAGCGAGAAGTAATTGTAGCGATTTTTAAAAGATTACTAACTTTATAATATTTGTATATAAGTATTTTCATTAACATAATTATTACACCTAAAACACATTTAATTTTCAGTGATATTCAATTTTAGCAATTTCAGAAACTTAGCTGATCATGCCTCGCTAAAAATTATGCTTACACGGAATTTAAACTACCAATTGAATAAATATCTTAAATGAAAATCTTTTGAAGGATTTTCTTGTCAATTCTTTGCTGATAGGGTTACTTACCTTTAATAATGTCATCACAAGTGAGGCACATGGCTGGTCTTCACGCTGGATGAATTCTTGATCAAATCAGTGATGTCCTAAGATTTCCAGATAAGCTGACAAAAACCTGTAATTTAGCAAACTTCTGTAAAATTTCATACGGATTATTGCACAGTTGTTCCAGTATGCATTACTGATAATTTAGGTGTAATGTGTTATAAATCTGGTAAATATCCATTTATTGGATATTTAATACAAATCTTAACCTTCTTCATTAAATTTTATCAATATTTTTACAAGAAAAACAGAATGAAATTGTCCTTTTTATACCAAAAAATGTCAAAGGCCTTTTCATAAAAAAAAATTGATTTAAAAATATTTGTTTTACACACTGTTTTCATATATATGTCCTAGAACTTATTCTGCTGCATCTGATCATACCTGTATTTGATTTGCATTTTAAGGAGTCTGATCATTCAAGTCAGTTTAGTCAGTTTAGTGCTTGACTGGATCTTTCAGCAACAGCATATTTCATCTTTGTTACTGCCTGGTTCCCTTGTACTTCTGCTATAAAATAAGTTTTAATGTATATAATTGTATGAGATTGATGAATAAATAAAGAGGAGATTTGAACCAAGGCCACATGAAACTCCAATCAGGTGCTCTGGGTGCTAGTCACTGCGCCCCAAAACCTGAACGCCCCATGCATGAACGCCCCAAAATTTTTTACCTTCGCCCAAGTACAAATATGAGCGCCCCAAACCTTTATCACGAGCGCCCCAAACGTATTTCACCAGCGCCCCAATTTAGCATTTCGGGCGCCCCAAGGCTTAAATTAACTAGTAAAGAACCAAACTGTTGTCTTTGATGCGTGTTTTATTACAGTTTATTAGATTTAAAAAATATATTATAATTAACGAACGTCCTGAATTACATGAAGATAAATGTAAACGTATATTTATACGTGCATTCTCGAACCGTACTTTATTTTGATTTTTAATTTTTTTTTTATTCGGTGCTAATAAGGATCTAGCTTACAAAGAGGAAATACACTGTACGAAAAGAATAAACTTAAACAACGATGTGTATTTCTGCAGTAACTTTGTAATAATAACCAGAAAAGTTTTTAGACTTATTGTAGAAACATGTGATCTTATACCTTATATATTCTTGTAAATCGGTAAAATAATCTATTCAAGATACCAATTACAACTTTTAAAAAAATTGTTTACGTAATTCGCAATTTTTTATAAGAGTTACGAAATTTATTTAAAATCTGTCAGTTATAAATATACAACAAAAATTATAACAATACAAAATATTATCATTTAACCTACCCAAAGTCATCTATCTATTATTATTTTTTTTTTTTTTAGAAATTTTAATGATGTAGTTTGGGTTCAAAATAGCAGTATGTCCCTAGTACAGTGCACGTACCGCGCGATTTCGTTGCTTCTTGTGTACCTGATTATGTAATGCTACATAATATTACACACCTGTCACTAGATCAGTGAGATTTGTAGTCTGTGTATACACAGTAATCATAATTTCAGACACCCAGTTCAACAAACATTCACCTTTCCATGTGAATTATTTATATCGAACATGCACAGGTTTATTCCCCGAATGGCTACTGGAATATAACAACAAGTAATTATCACACTCAATTAAGGGGCTTTCTAAGGGGTACAGATAGACTTACCTGTATGAATAATTTACCAGAATTGAAACAAAATTAAATGGAAATTTATTTCATTTTTTTTTTAATTTGAGCACTATATAAATATTTTGTATACATATTTTTTAAATTAATAATTTTACAAGCACAAAACATAATTATTAAAAACTATAAATTATCTTGAAGTTCTATTGATTAGCAGCACTGATTTTCACATTACATATGAGATAACACATTTTCACTTTCATAAATACATATTTACAATTTATTTAGTCCATCTCCATATATTTCTTCGCAACTAAAGGATTGCTATGCAAGGTGAAAAAGTTCATAAACTTCATCTGTATTTTATGATGATTTAATAGAATGTTTTGATAATTAAAAATGATAAATAAATTAAACAAAACTTTATAGAATCACTTTTTTTATCATACATAAATATCTATATTATTTTAAGAATAAAAAAAAAACATTTGTGTTAATTTATCTCAAAGAGTTTGAAAATGTAGCACAAAAAGGGGATAATATAATTTGTAAGCTCATCGATCGTAATAGATTTTAATGTACAACATGTACTGTATTTTTGCAATAGGGTATGATAATTAAAAATGATAGATAAATAAAATAAATTAAACAAAACTTTATAGAAACACTTTATTTATCCTCGTACATATATATCTATATTATTTTTAGAAAAAAAAAAAACCCACTTGTGTTAATTAATCTAAAAGAGTTTATCTACTTATATTTATTTATATTTCTATTCAGTATATTTTGGAAAATAGAAAACCCCCTGAATTAAAATAGAATTGAATGAGTATATCTGATTTATAAAATATTGCTTATCCAGGTAAACACAGGTAAGTCTACCTGTACCCTTTAGAGAGCCCCTTAATTGAGTGTGATAATTACTTGTTGTTTTATTCCAGTAGCCATTCGGGGAACACACCGTACGACGGATCATGCGTGTAAATTAAAATGAATACATCTAGAAATTAATAACAAAAATAAATACATAAACGCATTTTTAGCACTTATTGCATTTCCACACAAAGCAGATGACATGACGCAGATTTGGTCAAGCTGCTATCACAATTTATAAGACTTTATTTAAAATGTTTTATTACCCCCCCCCCCCCCAAAAAAAAAATTATCATGCTTTATCGCCAAGTTAATTAAAATTTCTTGATATAGTCGGCGTTGATAAAATATGGGGGGATGTTCTTCTTTTATTTTGGATTTCAGTTGTGCCCTGACTTTAATACAAATGACTGTACTATTATCTTTAATTACGAGAATAAATCTTGATAATTTAAAAGTATATTTCACCAGATTTTTTTTTTTTTTTTTTTTTTTTTTTTGAAGAAGGAAAACTTAACAAATTAATATTTAGACGAGCACCTGCTTGTGTATCTGTGACCATATTATTTGGGGCGCTCGAAATGCTAATTTGGGGCGTTCGTGAAATACGTTGGGGCGTTCGTTATAAATATTTGGGGCGCTCGTATTTGTACTTGGGCGCCGATAAAAAATTTGGGGGCGCTCATGCATGGGGCGTTCAGGTTTTGGGGAGATACGACAGTAACCCGGTGCTCTACCAACTGAGCTATCTGGCCACCGGCAATCAAACCCCGCTGACCGCCACATTCTTCCCTCCTTAAAGGTCTTTAGACCCCTACCCCGGCTCATCCCTGGCAGGTCTTTCACCTGTCAGTTCCAGGGCATGGCACAGCACCAAATGTAGTAAGAAAGGAGAAATGCAAGAGAAAACTTGTGGCTGGAATGGGAATCGAACCCGGGACCCCTGTATCAGGTCCAGCACAATACCCCGATAAAGGTATATAGCTTGATAAAGCTATATACATGTAGCTTTATTAAGGTATTTAAAATACCTTGATCCAGGTATTTTATGGAATGAAAATTCAAAAAAATTCTTTAAAAATTAAATACTGAAAGTTGAGTTCTTAGTTTTTGTCAGTGTGTCCACTCGTGCATGAAAAACACTCTGGTATCAAAAAGAAAGCATAAAAAACGTCTCCTCACATGACATTTTAATACTGATTTGTTTATGTTTGAGCACTTAACATGCATGGGTGAATATACTGACAACAACTCAGAACTCGACTCTCAGTAACTAATTTTTTTAAAAGATTTTTTCTTAATTTTCATGACATAAAATACCTTGATCAAGGTATTTTAGATACCTTGATAAAGCTATATATAGCTTATTCAAGCTATATACCTTTATTGGGGTATTGTGCTGGACCTGTGTATTACTAGTCAGGTGTCTAACCACTGAGCTATCCAGGCTGATATCAATGGTCCATAAAGCCCGAAATTCTACACATGTATGTTTATTGTATTGAAGTGATTTGAATTTTGTTAAATGTTGAATGCAGCGAAATATTTCAAATAGCAAAATATAATATTACATCTTATCTTTGGGAAATAGATCTTAAATAGGTGATCCTATAGGTGACACACAACAGGTAAATCTTTATTTAAAAAAATATATTTACCGATGCAAAAGTGATGCATGCAGGCTCCACAATATGACGTTTGTACCCATCGGACACTGACAAAACTTCTCCTCTATAATCAGCTGATAATAACATTATCATCCTCGAATTCGAGAAAAATCTGTTAATAAATTTAGGCGAAGGATGATTATGAATCTATTTCATTCAAGTATAAAGTAAAACACTTCATTTTCTCTCAAAATAAACAAGAAACAGTTGACATTCTCTGATTGTTTACCTGTACTTCGATCGAATTTTTCCTGGTGAACACTCGCACCCAAGCTTTTATGACACGCAATTCATCCATCGTAAGTCGGAGAACCCTTCTGCTTTGTATAACTACTTAACTTTTCCTCAGAAGCTTTGTATAAACCAGAAACATGCTTAACTAAATACACAGTTCCTCATGGCAGGTACCCGGAAGTGAAAATTATCGTAGAATCTCGCTAGTCACGTGACGAGACTTACAGACCCTATACAGTTAAAAGTTGGAAGCTATTTCATTTTCAGGTTTAATGAGAAATACATATAAGTCATATTTTTGTTTGACGTCACAGTAAACTTTTCCCGTATAAATTAGGCACCAACCCCTTATTCAAGCCTTATCAATGCTGTGCAAGGTCATTTGTATGAAAGACTTCCATCAGTTTTTTCTTAAGGTACACAGACCTTGGCCTTTAACCTGTGACCAAACTTTCAAGTTCAAAGATCAAACGTCCTATTGCAACCAGTAGCAACTCACACTTCAGAATTTAAGGAGGAATGCCACACCAGAATTTTATTTAATGAATCTTTAGGATATCCTTTTTGAACCATGGTTTCATAATTTAAAGACCGATATAAGATTTCAATCATTTTATACAATAATTCTGCATCTTCTAAGAGAAAATAAATACGTTTTATTTGCAAATGAAATTATTTATGGGTTAACCTTGTCAAAGCTGTCAAAAATGCATAAATTTAATATGAATGTCTACAAAATAAATAGAGGAAGGTTGTATAGACATTTTATTTCCTTAACTAAAAAATAAAAGGAAAATAAAACATATCATTTGTAACTTTTTTGAGCCTATGGATAGAGTCTACCTGAAACTGGCCAAACCTTGAAGCAAACTATTGACCAAAAAAGCTGACGAAACATGAACAATAAGTCTTTTTTTTTAAAATCAACATTTTGTAAGCCCTATGGTCGATAGAATGACATTTTCAGCACATGCAATCTACCATTAAATGAGATGCTGACTGACGTTTTAAAAAAAATATTTATTCATTATTTACACATGAATTTTCTGCCGAATTTTCTGTTTGCATGTTCATGCGGGTGAGACAGGTCAAGGTGGGATGGTTACACCTCCATGTCACCTGATCCACATCTGATGTAATTTATGTCCGAGTTTGCTCTGATAACAAATGTTATTGTTTCAGAACTAAATTACGACTCTACATGCCTATCAAATTTAGATTATTAATCTGTAGATTTAATATCACTGAAGAAAACTTGCCCTAACCTTTTTAATTCGAATTTTAAATACAAACCTTTCAATATCATCTGCAGAACTGTGATAATGCAATATCACAACAGCAACAAACACTGAAATTACATTAAAATTTAGAAGTACTTGGACATCTATTAAGTTTATATTTTTATATAATACAATTAAAGGTACAACTTGACAGCAAAGGACATTCAAGTATAAGAAATTTAATCAATCTTTAAGGTCAAGATCTAGTAAATTATTGATTGATTGATTGTATATTGTTTAACGTCCCTCTCGAGAATTTTTCACTCATATGGAGACGTCACCGTATGCCGGTGAAGGGCTTCAAATTTTGACCTTTACTCGGCACTCAGGGCCATTGAGCAGTGAGGGGTCTTTATCGTGCCAACGCCTGCCGCTGACACGGGGCCTCGGTTTTTAAGGTCTCATCCGAAGGACCCACAACTTTCACTTCAAAGTGCCGAGCGCATGGCGAAGGAACAGTTGCTACCAATTTTAACGACTAGGTCAGTCGCGGCCGAGATACGAACTCACAACTCTCCCGATCACGGAGCGAGCGCTCTACCGACTGAGCTACCGTGAACGGTCTAGTAAATGAAAGGTGCTGCAGATTTATCAAACTTGAGAAATAAATTCCTCTATTGATGCTTTACAACTTTAGCTTGGTCAAATAAGGTGTTTTGCGGCATAATTTGTAGGTAAACAAGATGAAAAACCGTATTTTAAACTGTCAATTTCAATAAAAAATTAAAGAAAACCAGTCATGAATATGGGAGTTTTTTTTTGTATTCGGCAAAGGAGATGTATCCAGATTGCCAACAGTCTCTCAGAAAACGGTAATTAGTATGTTCATGACCTCTTCTTTAAATCAATATCAAATTTAATATAGGTATCCGGTTTACTTTTCATATGATTTCAATTTAATTGACACAAGAATACCCTATTTCCTACATAATTCTGCTATAACCGTAAAGTACGTGAAAAAGAAAGTTGAAATTGATTATGACGTCATAATGGATCTAGCACCAAAATTTTAGTCTCAAGTTATTTACTAGATCTTGACCTTAAAACCAGAACATTAATTAATAAACATATTATACCATCCTTAAAAGCTCAACTTTTTTTTATATCTACCGACTGAGCTTAGAGTTAATTCACGAGATGGCAATCGTACGATTGTGTTTTCACTTACACTTTGGAAATATTCTTTGATTTTTTTCCCTTAGATTTTTACCACCAGCGTAGCTCAGTTAGTAAGGCACTTGCTGCGTGATTGGAAGGTTGCAGGTTCGAACCCGGTGATGGTTGAACTTCGTCAATGAAATTAGTATCAACTGTTCCTTCGATAAGCGTTAGATATATTGAAGTGAAAGTTAATGGTCCATAAAGACCTTAAAAACCGATATCCCCGTATCACTCTCTGTAAGCAATAAAGACTGCTCACTGATTTTTCCGTTATTCCCTGATCATGACAAGGAGCTCAGGGCTGTCCGCAGGGGATACTCACTCCTTCATGGTACCTGATCCCACCTCAGGTGGTTTAGAGGTCCATGTTTGCTTAGCTTTTATTCGATAATTTAATAGGCTTTTAAGCTCGAATACTGCTCGTTTTTTTCATACATATTTATCTCTATATGAGTGAGAAAACTATCGCATTGGGCGTATAACAACATACAATCAATCTCGATCTCGAGATTTTTTTCATCCTCTGTGAAGAAATTCGAATCATGATAGTTATAATATGTGGATGTCAATATGATCTAAAAGCAAAAATCAAAAGCGATTGAAAACAAAATGTAATTCAACTAGCTTGAACTATTAGACGTCAATAAACTACACTAAGTTTTAAAGCCTCAAATCTTTTTAAATGTTGAAAATAAGAAATGACTTTCTCGGCATACGATCAGCATGTAATATCAGTTCCAGTGCCATGCAGCATTATCCAGAGACAAAGATAGAAATGTATACTTACAATTTATGAACATCGACATCCTATCCATGCAGAACATGATAATTTCAAATTGAAATGTCCTTATCAACGTCAATTTTTGAGAGGAAAGACAGCGGAAGATCACAAAACCTTTCATTTTATATAGCTTGATCTACAGGATGTATTGTAAATTTCCTTCCGGATATTGATAGAATTAAGTTTGTTTCTTTTTTTGGGAATCGAACATAGGTGATTGAATATAAAGTATCAGCTAGATTTTACTATTTGCAAACAAAAAAGTCCTGCACTACTCTGTTTGCCATTCACTGACAGCTTCATGATAATCGTTCAGAACTTTTTAAAAGAATAATTACATGCATATATATCTTTTGCTTTTACTATTAGATGCAGACCTTCTTCAGTTACATGGTAAATAAACTTACAATTTTCTTTATATACGTAAGAACTCAATACGGATGAACACTTCCCTTACAGACGAAGTTTGTTCGTTCTACAGCGTAACCCCCCCCCCCCCCATCGATGCGTGTGCTTGTCGCAAAGCCACTTGGGTGAACTACTGGTAAAAAGATACAGCCGCATTTGGATTTCCAAACGTTTATTACAGGGTCTGAAGGTATCAGTTCCTGATACCTCATCCCTGATTAATGATGATAAATTGTATTTATAGACATGAGTGATAGTTGACAACTCGAGTAACATATGATATGAGTTATTTGATTCACAAGCAGAGTTACAGATTAATAAAAAAAATCAATAATCAAGTTACTTAAAGCACCGTTCATCTGTGAATATCGATCACTGATCTTATTAACATAATAATAACCTTTAACTTTATATCAGAAAAATTGGACAGATATGAAGAAATTATGACACCCCATTAAATTATAACGAATATGTAGAATTTGTAGAAAAAAGCATTCATTTCAAGTAACTGTCAAATTGTTTAAAGACATATTTTCATCTGAGACAGTTCAATGTTGTTTCGAAATCCAAAAAGAAATAAAATAAATAAACAAACAAATAATACAAACAAGCAAACAAAATTTTTTTTTAGAGAAAATCAAATTAAGAAGTATAAAATTTTATTTATAGCATTATGAATTTTCATTATATTGTCGTTTTCATAAGGAAGCTTATTGAGTCAGTAAGTGGATTTGTTTCCAAAATTTCATTTTAAAGCATTGAAAAAGAAAAATTGCGTTGAAGGAAAAATAAATTAAGCAGTTGTTTGTATCTTTAGCGGATTTGGCCAACACTATTCATACTATGATGACTATATATCAACCCTTAAATCCCTAAATCTGAATTTCCAAAACCTTGTAATACGACATAAAACTTTATTGTATGCAGGTTCCAGTCTTGTACTCCAACATATTTCAAGTTGAAAACTGCACCTTGTATTTCCTACAAAGATACATCGAACATTTCTTCCAAACTTTTCAATTCCAAAAAAACTTAACATGGCCTAGACACCGAGTATCTGAAACGTAATCCACCATCGTGTTCATGTCCTTCACCAGGCTGAAGCTAGCAGCCAATAACAGCAGCCACTAAGCGCGTAGAAGCTAGCAGCCAATAAGGAAATTCATCAAAGAACTGAGAGTACTCAGACGCAGTAATGTTTTTAATACGTTATTTTAGATAATAAATGGTTAATTATTAGAAAATTAATGCAAAAATTAATTACATAATAAATCAGATACTCAGAGGCAGTGAGGCTCAC